GGACGGTAATAGATGAGCGCCAGCCAACGAGAGCTGTTCGCGCATTAGCTCTGCCCACTGCCGAGAAACCGGCATATCTTCTGCTTGCTCTTAAAAGCTGAATAATTCTAAATTAACTCTGTTATTTTGACAGGAAAATACAACAAAGAATATGGTTTATATGTAGCGCGTCGATTCAGCGTTGTATGCAAGACTCTCGCTCTCTCTCTTTGCATGTGTGAGAAACACAGCGCTATCAGTAAAGCGACGGCTAGTCGTGCGCCTTCACACTAGTTTACGGTACGTCAAATACAGGTGCGCTGCATGCTACATACTGCGCATCCATTGAGTACATGACATGATCCATTGAGCGCATCCAAATAGTACAGATCGCTTGACAGAGAGCGAAACTCTCAAGCGCTCAGTCAGCGTGTTTATCGAGTGAAAATCTGTGTTGAACGCCTCTCACACACATACTGGTGTGTAAAATCTAATAATTTATTAGCCAATGGCTAATGTTAGACATTATTTAGTCACCCAGAATAAGATTTAGTCGCATATGCGAGTGATTTACTCGCAATGTAGAGGGTTGAAATCACATTTAGATTTTTTTTCCCCAAAACGTGCAGCCCAAAATAAAACATCAAACAAAATGATGATCTATACCTGTCTATTTAGCCAAACTAACTTCTCATCTTTCATGATTAAACAATCATGTGGTATGTCTTGTAAGCAGACAAAAGAGGAGCTACAGGTGCATTAACATGGCTTCTTTGGTTATCGCACAACATAATCACACATTTATTCAAGCCAATTATGGACACAACGCTCTTTCTAATCAGAACTGAATTAATTCATAAAGAAACCTCTTCACACACTGAAATGTTCCAATCTCAACTAATAAAGACTGTCAGATTCCTTTTCTAATTGTGGGTCTGCTAGACTAAGGTCATAGAAATAATGTTTTTATTGCATTAATATTGGCGTTGTGAAACAAGAAAGCTTATCTGCTCTTGCCCTAGAGCTGTCACAAGGCATGGGCCGATTACCGGTTTCAAGGTATACCGCGATTTGAAAATGTCACGGTTTCAAAACCACTAATATTTTCCGTTACACCGTTCCTGCGGTATGCGCTGTTTTTCATGTCTCCTCAAAGACTGAAAGTGTAGGAATCCCTCAGGTTGAGTGCAGTGTAGAGAGTAACACGACCCAGTGTTGCCAGACGTATGATTATTATCGTATTTGTACGATAAGTTTGACCTCTGTACGATGTACGACTAATAATGAAAAAAATCCCATAATGTACGATAATTTCATAATTTTATGACAATTCAAATGATGGTAGTTGTAGTCATAGGGCTTCTATATTCATACACGAAATCGGCTCATTACAGACACTCTAAATGCGCTTGTGCACACCTCAGAATGTGTTAAGAATGCAGGAGGGTGCCCTGCTTTAAAGCCAACGAGCACTATGCTTCGGTCCATGACGGCAAGAACCCCCTCAACATCTGGCAACACGCAGGCTTCCGATTACAGCGGCTCAGATGTGGAGTTAACAGCTAAAGTCTGTCTACACTGGAGACAGCGAGTGTTAAAAATCATTTTAATACGTCATAAATAGAACAAGAAAAAATAAACAAATTCTACTGTTCCTAATACTCTGTATGTTGCTCAAAAATAAAATATATTGTGTTCAGCAGAAAATTTTTTTTTTTTTTTACCCAGTCATTTCAAAATAACACATTTTAGAGCTGTAACGACAATACCGTGAAACCGTGATATTTTTGCTTAAGGTTATCATACCGTCAAAATCTCATACCGGCCCATGCCTAGCTGTCACATAACACAAAGTTGACCATTTCACATTACAGTTCCAAAAATAGGTTAACAGCAGCACTCTCTCACTCTCAGGGAGCTAGAGAGACGCACACAACAGCACACACATTAACTAAACCGTTTAGATATAATTAAAGGGCTTGACTAAATGGGTTCAATGTCCTCAATGATAAAGAATAGGAATGAGCTGTAAATAGGTCACATTTTGAATATCATACATAAAGCAGCTGCAGACATATCACTTATGCAAAGCCTGTTGCACAGTCAAGTAACGTAATCATGACACTGCCAAAACAGTAACAGCTGCTAAAATGTTATAAACCTCCCCTGGCCAGCACATTTACCAACACAGACACAGGGGGTCAAACAGAGAGAGAGAGAGAGAGAAAGAGAGAGCCAAAACACAAAAGTGCCATGGTCAGATTCTCACATTTTTTGACCAATTAATTTTAATTATTATTACAGTTTAAAATCAATAAAATAGTATTAATTTACTTTAATAATTAACATTATAAATTATAAATATGCTAAATTAATAAAACTAACTAAAATGTAATAAAAAAACTGAAAATATAAAAATAAAATAATTCAAAATAATAAAAACTATAATAGTATCTTAATTATACCAAAATAACACTGGACATAGACAACACGCACAAAAGGCCATTTCAAAATAATTTAATAAATAATTTTAACTTTAATTTTCAAACATTAACATTCATGAAAGAGGGACGCTAATTATTCCATGAATTCTAATGGCCTGAAGATGACAAAAATGTCCTGATATTTTCTGTGACCCTGCATGGTACTACCATGGTATTTTAGGATAGAGTGAGGAGTCAGAGCAGTTCTGGAGATGTTGTTCATGTATTTATGTCCTCATGTAGTGATACGACAGAAGCTGGAATCACCGCGAGCGTCGCACACTTTGTATGTGTAGAAAAAAAAACATTGATTGGTCGGACTCATGACTCCCAACAAATCAGATGAGTGGTGGGCGGAGACTGCTTTAGGCCACAGAGTGGTGAGTTCTGACAGGTAATCATAAAATGATACCGATAATCATAAATTGCTTAACATCGGCGCCGATAATCGGTCGAACCCCTAGATAGAACCATGGGTCTTTGGGCATGTACCTTAAGAAACCATGATACTTTGGACATGTACCGTGGTATACTTTGAAGTGACATGAAAACACCATGGTAAATACATACTAGGGCTGGGTAAAAAAATAGATATCTCGATATTAATCGATTCTCATTTTTATGGAACGATATTGATTCTTAAATCCCAAGAATCGATTAGTCTAGCCTGTTTTCAGTTAATGGATGGAACATTGAAGGGCACTTCCCA